AGTAAAATAATTGTAAAAGTTATAATATCAATTGTGCATGATATAAAATATTTAGTTGTTACGGTTGATGGAAGTTAAAACTGACAGAAATGTACATCCGTACCGGGCTTTAAGATACTAGGTGAACATGATAATAGGCGTGATATTTCGAAAAATCAACGGAAAATGTTTAGAACCGTTCGATAAATTACTTGTTTGGAAGTTCATTTTTCTTAAAAACACTATCGTAATATTAGTTTAGCCCCTGTTTTCTTCTAGGCTATCCTTTACATCTATGCCAAATGTCTTCGAAATCTCTAACAAACATCCATCTATCCAAACTATCCATCTATCTAAACTTTCGCATTTAATTACCAGTTTTTTCATATAAATAGAGGAGGTTACAGATTACGTCGTTACCTAAGAATGTTAACACGACAAAGAGTCGTAAGAGCCACTTCCAACGGATGGCCCAATTGAATTCATCCGTGGCATTATATGCGCCTCCGTGCGAATTTACTTTCCGAGTGCAGTCACTTTAGTTAAAAATGCATTCGATAATTTAAAGAAGAGTTTTTATTTGAAACACATTTTTTTACTATTAATAGCTAAATCTAAAGTGCTTTCCTTTGTAAATAATCTAAGTATACCGCCAAGTTTTGATAAAAACGAAAATTACTTTTACATTTTACAAGCTTTTGCCTGCCACTTTGTACGCGTGTAACTAAAAAGAAACAAAAGGAAGTAGACTAAAGCCTAACCAACCAACCATCCGTCCATATCAACTTTCTAACCTTCATACTTCGCATTTATAATATTAAAAAGAAGAAGTAGATAAGTTAATTCATTGGATCAAAAATCCTTTCACGCATTGTAGACACACCCTAGAAAAGTTTTATAGTTTAAAAAAAAACAGTAGCTGGATTCCTAAATAAAAAATTCGACCTGATTGTTGTGTTGTGCCAGTGCTACATCAGGTCACCGTATAAACATTAAAAAAGAAATAAACAAATAAATTGTATGTCGTAAGAGTGATACAACACGAGCGTACATGAAACCCGTAATTCTCGTCGCTGGGCTTTCAAAAGGCATCTCGGGAGCTCGCTGCGTGACCTATGAGCTCAGGAGACGGGCCATTTAAGGTCCGGCGCCGTGTCTGTCGCAAGCTGAATACACTGCCAATGTCGATACTAGGCCGTTAGGGTTAACGTGCGTAAACTAATTAGCATTTCATAGATCTGGAATCGATTTAATTTTCTTCCTCATTTTCCTTATTCACATAGTGAATTGAATAACTATCAATTTTTTTTGCTGTTTGTTCGAAAGTAGAATGGAAGTCAGAACGTCAACGAATCTCGTTGAAATTTAGCACTATTATAAAACATAATCTGGAAGAACGCATAGTCTACAAATTAAGTTTTTTCTTAATTCCGCGCAAGCAGAGTCACAGTTGAAAGCTAGTTGATTATAATCTATACCAATATAATAAAAAGAAAAGATTTGTATTTTTTTATGTAATGAAATAACTCAAAAACTACTGGTACGATTTTAAAAATTCTTTCACCGTTAGAAAGGTAATTTATCTGTTAGTAACATAGGCTATATTTTTTTAATTTGACACGGGTGAAGTGGCGAGCAACGTAGTTACAAATATATTTAGTTGGATGTGAGACCTTTTTTAATTTTCAGAAGGATAACATTCAATGTGCCTTAAGCTTTCAAGTCCGACATTTAATCAATAATTTAATGTTAAAAAAATTTCGTGTGCGACCGGTTTGACGCGTTGTACGCACGATTATTTACTGCGAATACGCCGGTACACTGTGTACAAAACTACATCCGAATGCACCTTCTTGAGTTATTATAACAAGCTTTTGCCACTGAGTTAAACTTATGTTATAAAAAAAAAGTTACAATTATTATTTCCGTTGTTCTATATTTATGTGTCTTTTAAGTTTAGATTTCATGTAGATCGTGAAAGCCTTTCTTTGTTTATTAAAATACTAGCTGTCACACGCGATTTCTGCGTGAAAATAAAAAATAACCAAAATCATGTTACTCACTGATAACGTAGCTTTCAATGGTGAAAGAATTTTTGAAATCGGTCCTGTAGTTTTTTAGTTATTAACAACACAAACAAACATACAAACATACAAATATTTCCTCTTTATAATACTAATATAGATTTAAATCTTTATGTTAATATAAATTATTCTTTAATACTGTTGTGCTGAAATACAAAGATTGTAAAATGCAAAATTTAAAAGTAATATTAAACCGTTTATTTTATAAACCGCAGCGGAAAACCAAAAAGGGAAAAGCTCAACGAAATATCGCTGTACGTTTTCTGTGGTAGCCCGCGGCGTTGATTTGCAGCTCTACTTAAAAACTGCCATTATCTCTAGTGAATAAAAGCTAAAATGGCATATCATAGTATAATGCACTTTATGACGAGAGACATAACAATTATTCTGCTTTGTGCTGCTTCTCCACATGAGGTCCTAACTATCGGCTGCCGCTTTCCGACAATACGAAATGATGTCCACATTATGTTTCCTACATCACTTTTATACGACCTACTATAAAATAGCAAAACGTACCATAGGGTTTCATTCACCGATCTCTAAAAATGGGTAGGCTATAAGACATGGTACTTTCGTGATTTTTTTTTTCACCATTTAGCGCTCCCAGATAATTACATAGGTATAGAATTACTTGTCAATAACGTCAACAGACGCGTTTAAGTCGGAACGAAAGTAAGTTTGGTAATTTCCAATCAATAACCTATCTATTTATAAAGATCAGTGGTATTATTTGCAATTAAATTTTATAAAAACACACACAATTTATTAATCCCTCAGAAAGTCCTATATTCAAATCTAAAGAACGTAAAATTTATTAAAATGAAAAAACTACAGTTGAATAGCATTTAAACAAATTTAATTGTAGCGATAAAGTGTCGAAACTGTCATAAACAAGACATTCAAGATATAATTAACACGTTGATATGCAAATAAAAATAACTATGTTTTTACACTAATTGGTATAAAACGTGAGATTATTTTTATCAGAGCGTATTGAAGGACAGTGCGTTGACTTATTTATCTATTACGTAGTTGAATTATTTCATTTTACCGACTATATAAGTAACTAATTAACACTGCAACCAACAGTTTAAAACGAACAGCACAGATTAGGTTATTGGGATTAAGGACTAAATAATTAAACTAAGTGTACGAATTATAATTAAAAATGGTTTAAGAAATCTGACACAAACGCAATCTGTTTTGCAATATTAATATAAGACCCAAGATAATAGAAATCCATTATAAATAGTTACATTCGACTATTGAAGTAAAAATAACGGTGTTAATATCTAAAACCAATTTCAACATATTAACGTACACTTCTCAATACCTAACCCTTTTAAAAAGGTTGTTAACGCATGAAATATCGAGAATTTATTAGCATTTCAACATTTTGTGCGCAACATTGTACAAAACAATGGTAACAAGGAACGTATTGTCACCTAAATCTGTCACATGGTTGAGTTCTTGCGTAACAAAGTCAATCCGAGATGCGTGAACCGATACATCGTACAGAATGTCAGCGCCAGAGATTGTCAAATTGTTGTTTATATTAGTTATTTTAACCCATGATTACATTAGAGAAAATCACGATTATACTAATATTATAAATGCGAATGGATGGATGTTTGTTAGAGTTTGTAGCCTAAAGGACTAAACGAATTTTGATGAAATTAAATACAGATGTGGAGGATAGTCTAGAAGAACACATACGTCACCTTTGTTTTAATTCCACGCTGAAGGAGTCGCGGGCGAAAGCTTGTTATGTCATATAAGTAATTAATTTTAAAAATATTGAACTCTAGAGCCATAACATCCAACCTGATGATTTATACCAACTATTACAGTACCAAAATGCTACAACAAAGACTCGAAGAACTTCTTCATCATCATTCTCCTTATCCTACTCCCGTATGGTCGGCACAACAGGTTTATGTCTTCCAAATAACTCTATCATACGTTATCTCAGTCATCACTCCCTTTTTGATCATTGTCACCTTTCACGCAATCCATCCATCTCTTTCTAGGTCTACCTCTACCGGTGTACCTCAACACTCATAAGTAACGTTCTCCTCGTAACATGCGATTCATCCCTCCTCATAACATGCCCATACCAACCTTTAACTCGAAGAACTTCTAAATTTCTAAAAATATTTTACCGCCTACGTATCGGAACGTATTTCTTAGGCGATAATTCTATTAAATTAACAGATTGAGAACCATAGATCTGATTGATATTTCATTGTCCCCGAAGCTTATTTGAAGTCACTCATTAGCAAAGCGGGCCGCGTGTCGTCAGAAATGCAGTCGAATAACAATAGCGGCTACCCGCGGCTAGGGATTGATAATCGCGATGCGTTCCGCGCAACAAACCTTTATAGGTTCGAATTACTTTCCGTTTTAGTCTTGCGCGAATTTTTCTACGTGTCCTACAGAGGTTAAGATATTACTGATATTCGTTGAGCACCTTATACCCACATATTACAATTAAAATGTCGCATGGTGATTACCACTGGTCTTATTGAAGACCAATAAGGCAATTCCTGAATTAAGAGTAAAGGTTTACTTATAGTACCAATTAATAATCGTGATTGATGACTTTGTAAAGAAAATCTTGTTTAAAGTAATTGGGAATGTCAAAAAATGTGTACTTCTAGAGATCTTATTGTCTAAATGCGAAGTTATATTTATTTTAATGATTCGACCTTGACATCGGCTTAGTTTCTGGTCTGTGTAAACACTTGAGCAACAGTATGTCTACCTATAATAAGTGAAATTATATCATGTCAATATATGTTTTTAATCTTTGAGAATGCCGAAATAACGTTATTGTATGAATCGTAGATTTGTTACTTTTCAAAAATAGTTTAAAATTTTAAACGCATGTATGGTATCATTGAATTCATAATAAACATACTTTGTTTATCCTTTCAGTTGGAAAACGTGCAGTGCTGTTTGGATTTCCTCCACGCGCAAAAAGTCCAGGGACTAGAACAAGTAACAGCTGTGGACATTCGGGATGCAAAATTAAAAGCTGTACTCGCACTATTTTTTGCATTGAGCCGCCACAAACAAGCGTCGAAACAGCGAATAACGCCATCTAGTGGCAATGCAACGACAACTGGAAAGAATTCAAGCGAGGATGTTGCGCTAAGTTCTGTACAGCGGATAACAGGTGGCAGCAGCTGTGATGAAATTTTAACCGCCTGCGGAAATAACGTCGAGATGACGACATTAACAGCTAACAGGTAAGAATTGTATTAATTTATTTCATTTAAAAGTTTATTACTTTCTAGATTTAGATTTAGAAATCAGCATTTGTTGTCATTGAATGGTAAAACGCCATCTAGTAGCTATAGCTGAAACAAACTCTGAAGCAAACATTTTTCAGTTCCTCAAATGTTTTGCTAGATGTCGCTATTCCAAAAAATAAAGATAAAACCATACATTTTAAAATTAACTGTACGAAATAAATGTGTTTTTTGTAGTTAATTTTTTTCTTAGCTTCAATCAATTTAATTTCGTTTCGCGTGACTTAAATAATACCAAAATAAGTTTTATGAAAGAAAATTGTACAGAAACTAAATATTTATTAAATATGGAATGCTTGTTTTCTTTGGATCCATGTTTATTATTATTTTTATATTGTCATGCTAATAAGGTCGGCAGACCTGTACAGGGTTGCAGGAACAACAAACCATTGTTTGTTTTTCTACGTGATCTGTTTAGTCTGCGGGTGAATTGGAACAGTTTATTTTTAACCGCATAATAGTTCTTTTATTTCCTTCTAAATAATGGCCTTTCTAACATTGTGGTACTTCTTTTGTCTTCGTTGTTCTAAACTGAAGTATAACATTAGCTGAATACATAAAAATTGTTAGATTAGATTAGAGTTTAGAGTGTCTCAAAAATTAGATTTTACTTTTAAATTATATTTTAATTATTTTACGTTGATTAAAAAACACATACTTCTGCAATATATTGGGTTGGTTACCAACATGCCGCTATACTGAGCGAATTATCAGACATAAGCCTTTTAACAACCCCCCAAAAGCATAGTAAAAGTGGGAGTCTTATAAACCTCGCCTGGAGCGGACGCAGTACTAAAACCTGTACTGATAACATCCAGTTTAGTCTGCATTAACAAGTTTTAGTGAATTTCAGTCTTTATAAATATAATGTGTTTGCTTCAATAAATAAATGTTATTTGTCATTCGTAATGAACAAATACCATAATTGTTTGTTCTCATACGTTTGCACCCTTTTGCTAACAAATATCGTTAATTCTGAACACCTTAGATAAATCGAAGTCGCAACTAAAACGACTTAAAGGAATCTTGACAAGTTAGAGTTACTTTGAAGCGCAACTAAACTAATATTAAAACATTAATAATAAGCGAATGAGTGCTTTGCCGTGATTTCTCAACGAGTCGTAACGAGAGACGCTGCGCGTGCGCCCGCGCGAACACACAAATTAGTCATAAGGAGGGTTGACGCTCCTATGTTAGGAATAAACAGAGATTTAACACTTACATTAGCACTTTTAGTAAAATGACTTTGAAATAAGATGAATTTTTGTACAAGGAGAATAAGAAAAGTCTGTTAATATGATGGTAGATAGACTAGATAGTAATAGACTACTCTATAAGAGCAAAAATGATGAACTAAGTGTCGTTATAAAAAAAAACACCAAAATTATACTAGCATTTATGTTATTCCGATGGATCATCCCTATGTAATATTTTTTGTTCTTTTAAACGACCTAAAAGTAGAAGCCCTGAAGTAACTTGTCTATAAATAGCCAGGCGTTCCGAGTTTATTCCTCTCTCGTAGGGATTTATAACCCGACTAAATTAAATCTACAAGATCGACTGAACGTTGTCTAACAAATCGTAGTGCAATCGTAAACGCGGCGAGTGAAATTGAAACGGAAGATCGGAAATGCTCACCGCGATGGCCATAATTCTCGTTTACTGCAGTTACTGCACTTCGAGTGTTGCCCGGCGACATTCTATTTATGTTAGCGCCCTCTATTGGCGAGTTGCCGAGATGATGCTCATCATTATGGGTTTACTCACGATCTATGTTAGTAAACAAAGAGCGCAAGTTCCGAGAAAGATGCAATTTCATGTACGACTTAGTATTACGCAGTATTATCTTCATAATACGCATATAATATGCGATCGTTGTCAAATCATATTTATAGAATAACAAGAAAAACATCGGATTGAAGCGTTCTAGAAATTTCGAAGCGTCTTATTTGCATTATTATGTTAAACAGACCGTTAATATCCAAAATGTATTCCCGAGGACCATTGTAACTAAAAAACCATGTTTTTTACTGTTCAAAATTTTGTTTAGATCCCATATTATTAGCATGAATGACATTCAAATTTACGTAAACATTGTCCTTTGAAGCTATGAAAGCGTCGTTCATTTTTATGACTACGCTTAAATTAAAAACAACTGACAATGCAAGCCTGTTTACCATTATCTGTTTACATTTTTTATAGCCTGAACACTGATAACAATGTAGACGGGTCTTACGGTAAAAGTCGTAACTTCTTTTCTAAACAAAATTATTTTTCGGACTTTTCGAATTTTAAAGGATGGGCACATGAAGCAAAATATTAAGATTAAATTGAAGCTAGAGGAAGATCGAAGAAAGTATGGATATATTATGTGAAAGGATAAGATTAAGAAGGGAGTGTATTCAGATACGACCACTAATAGATAAGTATGGAAGAGCAGCACATACTGTGCCGACCCCCATAGGGATAAGGACAAGTTGATGATAGGCTTTTCAAATGAAATGGAATCTTCCAAAGATTTTGTTTAAATACAACGTTAATGTGAAACCAACAGTCAGTTCAGTCAGTTAAACTCATTGGTGTCCCAAGGGTGTAGATAAATGTGGACAAAAATTCCAATGAAATGTAATTATGTTATACAAGAATAGACAGGGGAATTTATTTCCTAATAATGACATGACGTGATTCTAACACTAACAGTAGACTTTACGTATTGAACGTTTTTACAGATTATTTTCTTAATAGCTGTTCCCATGCGGCTTGAAATTAAAAAAAAAAAAACTTTATCTTTTTTTTACATTTGTCAAATTCTCAATTGAAAATGTCAAAATTACCGTTAACATACGTAATTCCTTACTTTTACCTTACTTCCTTAATTATGTAGTTTAGTAGTAGTTTATGGTCCCTTTCCCACATGAATGTTTTTTGCAATTTATTTACCCCCTAAATTTAATAGCGTGAAAATATATAGCTTAAAGCGTGACGTAAGTGTAGGGGTTTTTATCAAAAACAGAATTATTCAAAAATATGCTGTAATTGTTGACATCTTACGCCACAAAGAAGTGTGTGTTTACGCTTTATTATATTAGTATAGATTTCTAACATATTCAGCTCATCATGGCCTTAATATTTGCCCACTCACATCTACAAGTGACGTACAGTAGTCTCCCAACCCCCGACTGACGGTCAATGCTTCCCTGATTACGCAGACAATACGAGGATGTCACGCGGCGACAGGACTCCCGAACTCACGACAAAACACTAACAAGCTATTGTTATTCGTTGTCACGCTGCAATGAATGTGTTGCTGGCGCGCCTCTCTAAACGTGAGCTTTGTTAAAAAACTTCCGCATGTACCTAAAAAATACAATCATTTATTCATAATTATTCATCGTAATGAAAAAACTGTAATTGGTTATTAAATTCTGAGTCTCAAGCATGGAACTTTGACTGGAAATCTAATTATTTTCGTATCGTAATTCAGTTATTTTTTACGAGTAGCATGGGATATGTGTATTTAGCGCCCCTATCGAGAAATTCCCGTCAAGATGTTTCGTACTTGTACACCAGTTGATTTCAATTTATTGATTTTTTAAAAAGTTTGAATAAATGAATAGTAAAAGATTTGGAATTCCCTAAAATCGCAGCGATAGCTCTTCAAGGACAATTCCAGCAATGTCAAGGTCCTCCAAAATCGACGTGGGTATTAAAATTCCGTGACTTTTTCTTACTCGCAACCGGTGAAGCACGTTCACACAATGGGTCCACTTTCCTTTGCGGGGCGAGCCTTGTACGGCCGACGCCGGCTGTATATTGGGTTTGATTAATTATCATTAAATGTCATTAAAACATGCCGATGACCGCAATGATAACGAACTGTATCATGTAATTAGGTGTTCCGTGCACCGATGTGGTGAGTGGAGGGCAATATGCTCTTACCTTACGTTGGTTAAAGCGAGAATTATCACTATACGAAAAAAAGATCAATATTTAAAGTCAAGAGAATTGCAGAATTAAAAGGTTTAATTCCTCTAAAAAAAAAGCCTTGGCAATTTTTCCCACTTTGGTATATTAATGGCTATTGATTTTCAATTTTTTGTCATCATTCTTTGCGTCACGATTTTAAAAAAAGTTTAGTTGTAAGGAAGAAGTCGAAAATAGAGAATTACAATAACTTAATTAACTTAACTCACTTGTAATAAGAAGTACATTAGAATAAATAATTTGAATGTTCAATTATAGGCTAAAAAAAAATTAACGTATCAAATTAATAGTTAGAAACTGCTTACATTGATATTAACAAGACAGGAACTAACACAGGAAATGTTTCTACAATTAACGGTCATAATTAGATACTGAGAAAGTCTGACTCAAGGTGTTTTAGTGCGCACGCGCTATGCTTTTGTACTAAGATATCGACTTCATTATGCTCTTTAATAAATCATATTCCGTAGCCATATTGCAACGTTGGAATAATCTATGTTTTATGTCTATAAAACATTAACAAACGTTTGAATTTTAGTCACTTTCCCTTCCCACTGTTATAAGAAAAGTAGACGTAGAAAGTGGTATATACTTTTTATGTCTGACCCCTTCTCCGTTGATTAAAGATAGGCAACGCATCTGTAAGTACGGATGTCTATGGGCAGCAGGCCCTTAACTTTTTCGGGCAATTCTGGTGGCCTCTCGCTCGTTTGCCACCGTAAAATATGAAAAAAAAAACGATAGACACCATATTTGACCAATGTATGACACTTAAAGGTCTAATTAAAAAAAAAAAACGCTAAGGTAATGACTTCTGTGTGTGGAATTTAGTCTTGTAATATTGTAACGATTGGTTCAAGTATCCGTGCGTAGCCGAGGCGGGTCTCTAGTTGTAAATAATAACATATCTTTGATGACAGGCTCGTCCCCTCGCATAGCATGTTTCCGCCTGTCGTCTCCGCAACCGATAACCAAACTAGATAACTCTCAAGTTACATGTTGGGGGACCAATTAAAAATAGGGAATAGAATAGTTATCAAAGCAAATTATTATCTTATTCAATTAGAAACCTAGTTTGTTAGGTTTTCAAAGGTCAATTAAATTATGCAATATTTCATGTACAGATATTAACACTTTATTTATTTTATTATTTATTCTATCCCACAAAAGCGATAACCAAGCTGTTAAGGGTTGGTAACCGCAACAAAAGTACATATGCTTATTGTCTTGCCAATGGATTTCTATTAGGTCTTAGCACTAACCTATTTTTCAATATGGTTTGCGATGGGCTTGCAACCAAATCAACAAACTTTTAAACGTAACACAATGAGAATTACAGTATTTGGGTCACGATTATAATCTTAAGATTCCCTATAGATTTCATTGTCTTACTACATTGTTGTACAATAAAATACAATAGTGTTATCTGTGATTGTATTAAATACTAGCTCCGCCCTCGACTCCGTTCGCGTGATATTATAATAATAAAAACAAAAGAAAGCAGCCTATGTGTTCTTCCAGACTATCCACTACATCTATGCCAAATTACATCCAGATCCGTTTTGGCTACAAACTCTAACAAACATCCATCCATCCATCCATCTATCCATCCATCCAAACTTTCACATTTATAATATTAGTATGATAGCTTGGTCTAGTCCTTTATTAACGACATTTGTAAAATATTTAATAGACCAAATGTAACGGCTTGCAGATTTCCTAAGTTTAACAGATCGTGAATACGCATTCATGCATTTTAATAGCAGGGATTTTCATAAATTAATATCGTCGAAATCAGAGTGCAATATTCTTGTTTTGAGAGCAAACGCAGCCGGCGGCGGGCTCAGCGTGTCGTTTGTTTACGTTGGATCCCACACTACCATTGCCTATCTATTTCTACAATATCTTTGCGAGTCTATTCTAATAATACTTTATGTTGATAATCATACCAATATTATAAATGCGAAAGTTTAGATGGATGGATATTAGTTAAAGTTTATAGCATGAACGGCTGAAGGGATCTCGATAAAATTTGGCGTAGATGTTGAGGATAGTCTGGAAGAACACATAGGCTACTTGCTTTTTTTTAATTTCACCCAGACGGAGTCGCGGGCAAAAGCTACTAATAAATATTCGATTGATCACATTACATCTGTAAGATAAAACAAGAATATACATTTTGAAATAATTCCTGGATTGTAAAAAGATTACTCAGCTTATTATTAATTTTTATCTGACTCAAAAGGTGGCAGTATTTTTTGAGTATTTATTTATATCTACATATCCCACATATGTATGTAAAATTCATTGGACGGGTTAAAGCCTTAACGACTAAAGCTATTTTGACGAGTATAATATCACTTGAATCATCTTCTGCTGATTTTAAGTTTTTATCTTTATAAATTTACAAATAGTGTTAGTAAATCATGTATATTGTAAAGATATGTTTACATATATTACTTTAATTTGTATAAATATAAAGACATATTTTGTGTACAACTGAAACGACGGGTGGTCAAAGTGAATGGAATGAAAAGGTCGACGTGGAAGTAAACAACATGATTGTGCCACTTTACGACCACACACACGACTGTACATTCACAACTTGTATTTTTTGCATGTATTTTTAACAAACTAATGAGTTTTTTTTATATTAAAATTAAATTGATCATATTCAATATACTTTATAAATAACATCAGAGATATAAAAATAACACTTTCTTGGAACTATGTTAATTGACATAAAAATTCACCTCAAACCGCAGTAAAGTACAGAAAATGAAGAAATAAAAAATAATAACATACTAAAAAGTATTATCGGCTTATCGTTTAAATCTATTACCTCGGCCCAATTCCAAGACCTAACCTGGAGTATTAATTTCCTAAACAAAACGCCCATAACGAAAATGGGTTAACAACTTTCGGAAGTGACCGCGGAAAATGTTAATCTATATAATATAGAACCATCTAGAAACAACAAAAGTTCCTTAAACTTGTTTTAATAATAATTTCAAGCCTTATTAAAAACATATCTAGGCCATAAATACAATACTTGTACCACTAATTTGATAGTAAAGCAATACATTAGAGGGCATAATTCCGTGCACAGTACTTTGAGTACTCGACTTTTTGTAAAGGAAACTTTACTATAACACGAACGTTTTACGATCGTCTGACTGTGGGCAACGGTCCCCCGTTCAAATTCCACTTATTAAACTGCACCTCTTTATGTCCTCGTAAATTACGTATTATAAGTCCAATGCTTCGTTTAATCCTGCGCGCTTACTGAACAAAAGTTGTTTCTAAACCGAATTATTATTACACAATTCAAGCGTAACTCTGTCAACATCTTGGATAAATTTACGACAAATATGAGCCTTCTGTACTTACAGTAAACAGGGAGATAGAAAAAAAGTCACAAAGAAAACTACTATAAGAATGGCTTATATAGGGAAAGATTTGTACGATATAGTATATTTGATCAATTACCATTTCCAATAGTACTAAGATTGCGATTTCAATTCCTGCTACCCATATTCGTCTTCGGACGACAAGATAAACTTCTAAGTACCATTCTCTTCATCTCGATGGCTGGCATTCCATAACTATGAGATTCTCGCAAAACTTACTACTTCACATAGCCGCGTTGTGAAACGGTCTGTCCTCGGTTGTATTTCCAAACTTATGACTTAGGGTCCTTCAAGAAGCGAGACTACCGTCCAGAAAAGCCGGCAAAGCATCTGTAATTCTATTGTGGATATCCATGGACATCGTTGATCACCTCTGTGTTCTCACCGTTCGTTTATTTCCCTTTCATATATATAAAAAAGATACGAATGTATGTAAACATGATGAATACTTTAACCACAATGTATCAAAAGCGTATAGTAGATTACAAAGTGCTCTGCAAATTGATGCGTCGCTTATATTTTATGACAGCCTACGAAAGCTTCAAAATAATTTGTGTTAAACGTATATTTACGTACATATGTATGTAAATTGCTCGCACACACACCTTTGTGTGTAATATTCGAATGTGCAGTAATAAATCTCCGGATACTTTTAGACGTTCCACGAATAGTTGGTTTTAACAAGCTGTAGGGGAATTAGTTTGTTCTGATAACGCATTTCCGCATTGTCTACATTAGAATATTCGGTTAAATAAACATATTACAAGCTCTTTTGTTCTTTTAATAGATAAGATCTAACGAATAGTATTGAAATAAATTAAACGATGTTAAATTACTTACTTTAAGTACATAAATGTTATCTTTTGGTTGTTTACCTATACGTCCTTTTTTATAAAAGTTTCGATATTAAAATAATAATTGTGACGCTTTTAAAACTTTTTAAAATATTCAACCATGCGTTCAGTGTAAATTCAGTGCGAGGTAAAAAGCTTTAGTGTATCTAAACTTGTATGTGTGGAATTAAAATAAAACAACTTTAAAGTACGAAGTTGTTCTACAATGCAATGAGGCAAAGCTTTTTTTAGGATAAATGAATAACTTTAGCGTAATACAAATAAAACAGAATCGATTGCTGAACAAAACTTAACCGATGCCGAACACAGACTACTTAACAACTATTATTTACTAACAATTGTTTTGCAATAACAACTTACGATTCCAAATTAACATTTGCTCAAAATGATTGTTCACTATCTGTATTAAATTGGGCTTAAACTATTTCACTCGCTTTGAAATATCGATCGTTATTTGGATAATAAACAGTTGTCCGTTCGCGATAGATATTGCTGTCATTATCGATAACTATGAATTCATAGTGAGGCAAGGAGTGGGACGCGCACCCTCACATTATAATGCGTTAATATTACTATGCAACATGTAACAATGAACTTGTACATGTACTTTATTATTTAAAATAAATGTATGTGTTCTTGATAGCCTGGTTTATATCTTGAAATATTGCCGTACTTAGATTATACTGTTTGGCGTTTTATTTCGTCGTTGTTGTCCAATTAAAAATATGGCTAAATAATTTTATTCGTCAAGACACGATTTTAACAACACTTGTGAAAAATTTAAATGAGGAGGTAGAGATAGGAAGTTCGCTATATTCTGTGTATTATGTCACCGCAGACGGGTCGAGGGCGGAGGTGATTTAACAAGATAAGCCGCGAACCCTTCTGTGAGTGCATAATGTCATGCCGCTAATGCAAGGGCTCCTCCCCGTCGCAGATGGCACCCGTGCCGCAAGTTTTTCATACTCACCCACTATAGCATTAGCATTCGCTGCATCCCGGCGCGATCACGGTTTCGGAAGGGGCGAAGGCCCTCTTTCGTCGACTGTGTCTATCGTGCGGCTGCGATGCCCGCGCGCGCACGTGCTCTGTGCGTCTCGCGTCGTGCGCGAACACATCGTGTCTGAAAGTTGCGCGCTCTGTGACAAATCGTGCTTAGGATTATTGTTTATGGTGTGCAAAGCTCTATGTATTTATAGCCTCGGATCGTGCTCTATCAGTTGTCTAAGTGGACGCAACGAAAGATCCGTTTTTGATGTTTATTTTAATGCCGTGTTTGGAGTTAATTCCGAGTCTCTATTCGTTTTGTTTACGCGTTTGTTCGTGTGATTCATGTTTGGTTTACTCTCACTCGTGATATAAACCAAAGTTTATACTTAATTGCTTCTTAGAATGTACCTGTGATCTACGAGTTCCTTTTGATTTTCTTATTTGATAAGTTTCAATCTTTACCGTATCTTCAGCTAGTGCCTTTTCAATTCTGAAGGTTTTTTCCAATATAGGCGAATATTGTTAACGGTTTTTATTTTCAAGTTTAATATTCTTAATATGTTTAAATTTGACCTTTAGTTATATAGATTAAAGATTAGTTTATTTTTGTGTAATTCTGTTTGTTATAAATTAACTTATAAACTCCTGAACCGGTTTGAAAAATCTTTTAGTATTAGAAAGCTAGCCTATAACTAAGTCAATAATATAATTAGTAAATAGGCTATGTTTCTTACTAGAAATTCAATAATTTTTTTCATTTAAATTCACGCAAATATTTGTTTATAAGATATTACATTATTCACGATATTTAAAAGACTATTGTTAATTATGCATAATGCTCAAACGCTGTACCAAAAGTTCAGTTCTCCTGACTAGTTGCGCTTGTGCTGATACTGGCCGTACTGAGTCCGTGAGGCGATTGTTTTGCTCTCCTGTCCATTCGCAATCGCTGTACCTAAAGCGAAGTGACTTACGACAAGCGTTTCGTTTTATTATTGGCGTCGACTGGACCGGGCTATCTCGTCCTGCCCACGTTACACCTAGACTGGTCTTGCAACAGGGATAAATCGTTTTCAATTATAAATAAATCGACTAATAGAAAAACGCCTTTAACATAGAGGCTTGATTGTGGAATAGATTACTTTAATCAAGTTCTAATTTTTTAAATTAACTTTTAATTTGATAGTACAAGATCGTCTTTTGTTTTATTTTAATTATAGTATTCTGCTTTCACTTAAATCCTTCTTATTAGTTATTTTCCAATTCTATTTAATATATTTCATTCGTTGTTAAAGCGTAGCTGTTTTTAGCTGAGCTAACCAAATACGGCTCCTAAACTTTTTGTCACATAAATAAATAACAATTTTAGCTACATTCGTAGTCAACAATAACAAAACCTATGTGTTTGTGGGCGAGCGATTTTTATTTGTTTTGTCGAGTTTTCAACGATACGACGACTTTTTATATCTGGAATGTAAAAATTTAGAACGTTTCTATACAAAGGATGTTGCAGTTATTCCATTTGTTTTATCTCTTATTTGAATTAAATGTAGATGGAAAAGATATTTTTTTGCTTTTAAAACTTTTAGGACACTAACCAATAGCAATTTAACTACGCTAGCATTTACATTATATTTCTAAATAGTTCTAATTCTATATGAATTTTCTTGAAACAATAAAATTAAAATGTTCTAAGTTATAACGAGTAAACTACATAATTCATGGCTTATTTACATAAAATGTTTGCCTAACAAGTTTAACCTATTTCCAAATTGATTTAAATATCAACTTAAAAGTTGATTCTTCAAAAACTTACAACTTGTAAGTTTCATTCGTTCATTACGTGTTTTAAAGAAGCTTTTAAGTTTTACTATTATATAACATTTGCTTGAGCTTTGATTTGTTGTATAAATCTACAATTTAACCAAGAATTTTAATATTAATTCAGGAAAAAATAACGAAATAAACATTGTCTTTCGATAATATTCAAAAGCATTCTTGTGTTATTTATAAATAAAATTACAAAAAAAGATTGGAATTTGAGATTTCAATACTTTGTTAAGAGTATTGTACACATTTATCGCAAGTAAACCAGTTTGAGGAAAGGAACGTGCATGTGTGCGAACACTGCAGTACCGCGCAACGCAAACCCACTCACTGTAAATTCACAAATAAGACTCGCAAAACAATATCCAAAGAATTCAATTCCCTTCCCACTCAGGATCGAATATCCAGTAAATAAGCGATCTTAGAGCGTATTTTGTTGACTTTTTGACTAAAATGCAATGCGAGTGTACACGACATTTCAACAAAATGGGTAGGAAATTAACGTCCTCGACTGTACTTTTTCTTTGAACATTCATTTTATTATTTTCATTCCAACAACCGTTCGAAAGGAATGTTAGGTCATTTAAATGTGATAAAAATGTCGATATAGGTTGTAAAATCGCATACAATTTTAAATTAAAGATCTCGTTACAGGAATTGTTATATTAACTGTTTTTTTTTTTCGGAAAATCTAGAAGCGATATCCGTAATCGAATTTAAAGCTACCTTCAGTATAAACACTGTTATAAAAATCAAATCAGTCATATAACTTTCAATTTAATTAACACAGAAATTAAGTGCAACAAAACATTATTATCATCAAATCAAAGAGGTTTTATTCAACTTTATTCATTAAACATGCTACAAACACACTCTTCACTGATACATGCTCCTGCTTTTAGCATACCAGCAATATAATAATATAATCTTCTTTACAGTTCTTAAGAACAATGAATATGAAATTAAGGGTATCCATAAATCAGCACTCAGGTTAAATAAGTACAAGCGTCAGTTATAAAGTTCTAAAAGTAACAGGACTTGGTAAACGAAACATTAAATGCGTACGGTACACATTCGGAACATTTAAAGTCGGCTCGCGTGCCACTTTACAGAAGTAAACATGTCTCACTGAGCCGAACTTTCGGCATTAAAGTATAGACTGACAAATTTGATTGACCCGGTGTGCTTAACAAACTGAATCACGAATTACGATGGCTGACAAACGTGACAATATCAAAACGTCTCAGGAACCTGGACTTGTCTAAATTTGCATATTATTCTATTTCTAAGCACATTTTACATAGTTTCTCACGAAACTCCCGTGGTATCATCGTTTATCACCGGGCCAAATAAGTTGGTCACACTATGAAAATTAGGGTAGAATTGTAACATTTTAAACGTAACAAAAAACCTACCCAGTCGTAACGTCGCTTCGTCAGTATTGTTACAGTTTGTCGAAACGTGGACGTCGAGGGGGAGGCATAGGGTGGCTACCCCAAGAGATCGTACACCCCCGTTTGTTGGGCACAACAATAGTTCACATGAAATAATCGATATCTCCCAAAACATTAAAAGATCGAGAGCCGTTTAGGATATTGTGAATTGTTTGGAGCCCTTTTATTATTTCGGTACACGAATACTTCCAAGTTAATGAAATTATTGCAAGCAATTATTTTTTTTTATTTCAACACCTACGTAGTTTAGCCACGATCGTCCGAGAACGAACGGAAGGCATGTCCATAATTGCATACGCAACTTACACTAACGTTAATGATTGTGTTTTATTTAATCTTGGGTTCATTGGAATAGTGACGTATTATCGAATCCACTAATCTAAATTATTGAATACAGTGCTATCTCAATACGATTGCATCGCGGCAAAGCTTTGTACATTAATAGACTGCCTTTGGACTTGATAAGTACTGATAATATTGACTTTATGTTATTGATTTTCATTTGTTTGAACTGTCTTGGAATATCAATTTATGACTTAAAGATAAACGAATATCGGGTAATTGAATATATTTTAAATTAACAAGTATAGGAAGTTTGTAATAGCAAGTTATTTAAGAAAAGTTATGTGAAAGTAACTAGTTATAATTAACCTAAAATGTCTATTTCCTGATTTTATAAGTTATACTTTCATAAATATTATTAGAATAAAACTATTTTCTCTCGTAGTAAATCGAATTTAAACCCTTTGGTTAAGTCTTGACTTAACTACGACAGTTAAATAATTTAACTATTCACTGACGAGCTCTTCGTTAGGATTACGCTTTCGTCAAATGTATTTTAAATTAAACTTGTTATTGATGCGTTTCATTAGATCTGAGATATGACGGTAAGAGGCACCATTCACGCGTAGTTAATCACAGAGTTATTTTCTACTCATGTGTAGCTCCGTTTTTTTATAACTGAGTGCTCTCAAACTTTATTCAAATTATGTAAAAGTAAAAATTATGTTCCAAAAACTAGTACGATTTTAAGTTCTTCAAGAAGTGAGCATCCATTTCCTTAAAGTCTGACAACGCATTTATTTTTCTCTAGTATTGCCGATGTTCATAGGAGTCCTTAGCCAGTGTACTCGTCGCTCTTATAAAAAATTGATGTGTAATTTTGGATACTACTACACTATGTGTAGTCGACAGTTTTACTTCCCCTCATTCAGAAAACTGCAGCAGAATTCCTCACTTTTGACAGATAATATTTTAAGACTTTGCAGTGTTCGTCTTGAATGTGCAAAGGAAGGGGGAGTGAGTGATAAATCTGACTTAATGTCATGAGTTCGCACTTCCCTAGCCGCAGGTATCGTATGCCGACGTTAATGAAAATATATCGAATGTTACACAGCATTTGCTACACATTCTAAAGCTTTAAGCTTTGCGAGCTTTATGGGATTACATGACCATTTCGAGGTGGTTTTGTTGAAATGTAAGTTATGTAAGTAAGTTTTATTTACGCTGTTTCCGCTATAAACTATGCATAAATCTTACTGTTGTGATTTTTGATTAAGAGAATCCTTGAAATTAAAAAAAAATCGGTGTACTGTTTGAAATTTATAAATATGTACATCAATTGAAATTATGATTAGCTTATAAAGAAAAAACGAAAACGAAACACTCCATTCACATTATTTCTAGTAGCTGAATTTTATTTGCATTTCATTTCTAAAGGAAGATTCAAGATTTTTCGCAGGTGAACTTTCATACAATAGCCTTTATTATTGTTATTTACGGGACAGGGACAATGCGCTGCGTAATGAGTGGCGCAAGTAAGAAGTGAACGCGTATATCATAAATCTTTTTAATGCTACTTTAACTGTGGAGTTCTAAATTGAAATAAAAGATAAAGAATGTGACTTCTACAAAACTAACAGATATTATTTTCTTTGCTAAGGTTTGGATAGTCTTGAACCAAAATTTTAAGAATATCGTGAACCGATAGTCATATAATTTGTAAAAGTTGACTGTTTTCTTATTCCTGATTGATCTGTGGCAATCCATTATTAATAAAACAGTTTCCTTTTACTCCGTAAAATGTACACAAGCCAAATGTAAAACTACAAGCCGCTACTGATTGTAGGCGTCTACTCTCTTGTAATAAATTAAAAGCGTTAATAAACTTTACATTCGTTTCAGTTTAAAAACAGTACTGTATTCGTTTTATCGCAGTAAACTTGTACAAACATTGTAAAGTTTATTCCAGAGTCGCTAATTTCCTCTAACTTGTGCCGATAATTCCCAGCGTCCATTCTCCTCGCGCCTCCCTGTTGCACAAACACCCCGTTTATAGCCGACTATTGTATGGGCTTAATTAATTTGCTTTTATGCGAGCAAGCTTTGCGTTTTCGCTGAAACTGTGAGCAAAATAAACCTAAAAAGTGTATTTATCTTTTAGATTATGTTTTTAATGGATTTAAAAATGTAGTCATACTAAAATCGTAAATAAAAATCGTAGAATAAAAGTTATTGAATAAATGAAACATGAGGGGTGATATGATAAAATATATATGCTTTTACACTGATCGATATGAATTGATGTAATATATTTAGTGGATTTTTAATAAGTTTGTAATTTATTTCAAAGATTCGGCCTTTTAACGAATTACAAAGAGCGTTTTTTTGATATTTTTTCCATCTTAATCTCGTTCATTGTTTGCAATCTTATCAGAGGAGATTACTGTCAAGAGTAAATAACAAAAATAACTATCTAGATTATATCTGACGCCTTGTTCTTGTGACTCAGTGGTGAAGGAACGTGAACAAACCAGTTAAGGATTTTAAAAATGTATAATCCATGTCGCTGTCAATGTTTCCCTATCGTGTTCCGATCTTTAATGAAATATGGTATTAAAAACGTTAAGGTAACTGTATAATTAATTATACAAGAGATTATTGAAATATCTGAAGATGTACAAGTAATCAGGCAGAAAATTACGAACATAATGAATGCAAGTCCATTGTCCGTTTACGTTATTTTCAGAAATATGTCCTATATTTTAAAAGATGAATAATAAATGAACGAAAGGCAGAGATTCCCAAACTTTTATTGAATTCGGCGAACTAGACGCTCTTCCATTTCTTCCACTTGTGAACGTTCAGCTTCATTTCCCACAATAGTACACGAAACCGGTGTACTAAGAAATCCTTTTAGATGATTACATCACTTTGAGAATCATTGGATTAGTACAATCATCCACACTATACGCTACAAAGTTAAACTATCACATTCAGAGTAAGTAAACAATGTCCATTTGTTCGTATCAATCGCTCATTAAAGCGATCAAAACGTTCCTTATGTTAATATCTCTGGTCTTAACGGGAGGCATTGACAACGCGACATAAATCTGTCGCCAACCGCGCTGCGGTTACCTTGGACTTGACTTGTTTATTGCTAGAAATTCTAAGACTTCCTACAAAGCACTACAAGCGTCATTTCCAAAGCTTGGTCATTATAAACTTGTCGTTTAATGCTCTCTGATTATATACGACTGGTAATCTTTCTCGATCCTATAATTTGTGTCTTTTAAATTTAACTATCTCTTCATTTTAAGTACCGTATCACATCACTTTTACATACGGGGTTTGTTTTCTAAATATGTCTATTATTTAACACCGGCAACTAGGCATTTAATACATTTAAAAATACAATTTGTTTTTTCTAAGTAAAACTGTATTCGGTAATCCTAATTCTAAATTTCTTGGCGAAGACAAGACTTCTTAGTGACTGCTAAGTAACTCAGTGACTTTAAATTTACTTAAATATCCTGATATGATAATAAAAGTTTATACGTTAAATATCTATGATCTATTGCAATGCAAATGAAGATGCGTACAAAAATATCAACAATCGACAGCTACGTGAATGAATTAACATAAACATGGCCACGGACAGCGCCGGTTTCCACGAAACTGTTTCTGTTCGACTACAGTTCAAAGCTTATGACCATTTTGTAACCCAGAGAGCTATGTATAGAGCACTCTTTGTTCAAGCGTTGCTAGGTACAAATTTACTTTTAGGAATACATACGTAGTTGATGACTTCGATTTGATTTTGTCGTAACGTTTATTTCTTTTAATTAGTTAGGTTTTAAATCAAGGAAAGAATTTGACGGCATACCTTGGTTTCCGGAAGACTCGCTAAATGTATTACCGTTCAATGACGTCATCGTCCAAACAAAACCGCAAGCCGTTCGAAATTTAAATCCGGTAGAAACGCAATGAATCACAAAGGCATCTAGATTTAACCCTCACGCGTGACATTTGACATCTCACGAGTGGTCTTAGATCGTTTTAAACGATATCCATTGTCATGTTGTAGATACTTGCGTAGGTGTCGGTTCTTAGGTGAAGCTCTCATGAATTATTTAGATGCATTTATACCTTTAGTTATCACTGTACTTCGAAATGGTGCTCGGTCGAAGCGAGTTATCGAATGTTTTTTATTTTAACGATGCGTTAGTGTTTTGTTATTTATTTTTAAAATAAAATTCGACGTACATAAGTTTAGTGTGAAATTATGTAATCCTTGAAAAGCATTTAATGCATTATTAAAATTACGATAAATGGGGTTACTTATTGGTTCTTAAAGTAGTACATTACTTAAAACCAAATCAGTTATCTTGTCCTTAAATTTTAGTCGAAAACAGCATAATAAATAGATACAAACGCGTCTTTATTTCGTACTATTTATAAGTTCTAATAAAGTTGCGTGTAACTTAACTGAGGATGAATATTTATAGCTTATGATGTGTCCTCAATTTATTACCTATTATTCAATATGTTGATAGTTAAAGTGATAAATAGTCAAGCATTCAATTTGAGCAATATTTGTATAGTATTCTAGGTTATAATATGCTAAAATCAAAAGTCTTTATTTTGTAAAAGGTTAAAGTAACACATAAATTAGATATTGAAAGTGCAGATTCTTTGCGTACTTTCTTGATCAAAATATTTATGATTACGAGTATTGTCATAAAATGATTGGCAAGTCCATAAACAAAAGGTATCCTAAAATATTATTAGAAAATACGATTTCAATTGTATTCTACATACATGACACAAATAGTTAAATTTAAATTGCGATACTCTTTACAAATGTACATAATGATTAGACTATTTCATCATTTTACAATATAAAATAAATTTTATGTGTATAATAGTCCGTGTGGACAGCCCGCGCTCTGCTAAACAGGACTGCAGCAATGTGATAATTCAGATAATGAATTTAAACCGCAGTTCGCTCGAGCACGGCCAATAAAGCCGTGTGTACACTGGATTCAACCGATAATACGTTTACTGATCCATTCCACAAACACTAGTGTTGGTTTTATTTTGTCAATTGATATCTCGAAAACAATATGTTCAAAGGGCAATGAACTCTATGTCGTGTGTGCGTCGGTAATTACGCTTTTTTTCTCTCCATTGTCCTTTGTCAAATGACTATACAATAACTAATCGTTCGAGTTCCCCCTTTCTAAGCTATTACATTCAATTGTTGATAACATTTGATCAATCAAATTGATAATAGAGACATAGCTTAATGGCAATACTATTATAGGGTAACAGTGGTACAATCAAGTATTAACTAATATCTGAAGTAACTGTAACTTAATTAAAACTTTCGTGAGACATTATACTATATAAATTATAACACGGCTAATTTATATAGTAACTGTAACTTGTAACTGCTGCACTTAAAATTGTCACTAAGGATCCTAGGAGTTTAATATAAGGAGTACAAACTAAGGATTCTGTTAACAATTAGGTCTCTGAGTGCTGAAGAATAGAATCTCAATTCGATTGTTTTTTATAGTATAAAATTGCAATCTAATTAGTAGACGCTTGATCACGTTTCGTAAAAGTTTATTTATTTTACCTTAAACTAGCTGTTGTACTCGACTCCGTCCGCGAATTAAAAAGTTATTTAGTATTGTAGTATCGTTCAGTTTGTGCTCTACATATTTGTCAAAGTTCCTGGAGATCGGCTTAGGAGTTACCTTCTACAAACATCCATCCAAACATACTATTTTTGCAATGTATTTATTAGTAACAAGTGAGATAGTAAGATGAACATTGTTAGTTTGTAATAAATTATTTCATTGTAAAAGCAACTCGGTAGAGCAATGCAACGGATACAATCTAGCGACCCTTGATATTCGAGCGATGCTTAGAGTTGGCATTTGCGGGTTCCGTCTAACGCCGAGTATGGACACAATCGGTGGAATCTAATCCTACCTACGCAACAGTCTAGCTATAACTAACTCACTGTACTACTTATTCATTTTATGATTTTGTTTTTTTATCACCCCGTAACATAAATCTTGCAAGTAATATTTTAGAACTAAATAAAATAGCTACAGTCGAGGACATTTATTTCCTATCCATTTTGATGAAATGTCTTTTGTCGCTCAGTATATTATTATCAAAAAATTATCAGACATACTTGCAAAATAGCTCGTATGGTCCAAATTTACTAACTAAGTGGAAGACGAATATAATTCTTCGCCTCTACATCGATTAAACATAACCTTTCTTTTCAAAATTCTATTAGTTATTATTATATTAATTCTATTAGTTATTATATTATTCGATTTCTTAATGCCTAACTTGGTGGTAATCTTACAGTCATGCAGTGTTCCTATATTAAAACATTTTATTGTGAAATGTGCAAAAAATACTACAAGTCGAACAATAAAAGGGAAATGTTTTCGTTAAGACTTCATTGTTGTGGTACGAACAGTTAAGTGCGTTAAGGGATGGGTAATACGAACTCGGGACAAGGGCACTCCCGCCACGGGAAGAGCAGGAAATCAAGGAGCCTGCCAACCTCGCCTGAAGTCAGAAGGTACGAATGGTAAACTATAAACTTCTTTGGTCTGAGGATTTTGAAATCTGCTTAATTATATTTTTTACAAGTTTACATTTTTGGATACTATTGTAAATGTTTACATTAGACAGATAAGGATTCGTTTACATTAGGAATAAATTGATGAATTGTAAGAAAATAGTTTTTTTTTATGTTAAATCCAGTACTATTAATAAATTATATTGTCGTACTGCTCTTTCACACTTAGATATGTTACTGTATAGCCATTAAGTTCCAAGTTAAAACTAAAATATCGCACAACTGTTTAGTCTCGCTGTGATTCATATCAGCTTGTATGGAGGTGCGCACACTACTTGATTTTTAGTTATAAAACTAAATAGTTGAATTAACTAGTTAATAGGCTGCGAAACAATTGACAATCGTTAAAAAATCGTGCCTTAGTTTAGTCAAAAATGTGAGTGATTCCTTTACAAAAAAATCTAAAACGGCAAACAATCGTGATGCAATACCGAACGTTGTTTAATTACATGGTACATTTTTAACAAGACCTATTTTCTCCTGTAGAAATTTCACACTTAATTTGACGGTAACACGAGCGTTCTTTGTTCAGTATTTGGTACATGCTAGTCCACTCACACGGGCAAGCTATAAACTGCCTTAGTTTTATATCGATTGTTATCGTAAAAGCGAGTATAATGTTCATGCAATCTTTGATCCCCTTACAACGTACAAGTCCATAAACAATATTGGTATCGCCTTCTAAGGCTGACTTAAAACGTGGTACATGTAAGTATTTTGATTTACTAATTGTGGGAACGAAGGAATATGACTTGTCCGATAGTTTTTGTCTATCTTTACTGTAGACTTTAATTAAATGACTACTAATATGGTCCTTTCCCATATTATTGTTTTTATATCATCTTGACCATTAGAAAGCCTTGTCGTAGAAGATCAATTACTTCATTGGTCGAATACTGAAGTTCATATTCCATTAAAATTTTGACTAACTGTCTGACGCTTACGAAGAGCGAAAAAATCGTTTCAGTATCCGACCGTAAGAGGCTGTAGATAATACAAAATCAGTATTATTCCCAACCGTCACCACGCTATGTTCTCACGTAAGAATAAAAAGTTTCATCCGTCCCACCTTCTAGTCCCACTATCACCAATAAATCAACAGATGTAACGGTTATGAAATAAAATAAGTTCCAACCATCCCCTCGTTGCAAAAGGTTGGACGGATGAAACTTTTTATTCTCATGTGTCTCCACGTGGGGACAGAGCGGGGTGACGGTTGGGAATAATACAAAAATCATTCATATTCTAGTCAGTAGTTAAGTTAATAAGCATTTCTATAATAGAATATCAATTGTAATACGTTTCTGTTATTTTTACAAACATAACATGACCGTAGATTTCAATCTATTTCCAATTGCGGCGAACGTTCGTGGAATATGTAATGTGTCGTGAAGTCACGTGTCAGAATCGACAGCTTCCATTTCCGAAGCTTCGGAAGCTCGAACGAACTGTTACCGAACGTCGAACGTGTGACGCGGGAAAAGCTAACACGAGCTTAAAAGTTTTCATTTAATTGATATGTCGTTTTGTTATTGTGGATGTAACTGAGAATTGGATATTTTGTGTGGATTTTATACATTTATGTAAAGTATAAAAATTTTCGTTTCTTAGTGAGGTTGAGGAATTTACATAAATTCACTTTTTCTCGTATTTTGAGAGATATTAATGTTATTATTATTAATGCCAGTAAGGTAATAATTACATAATTATGTCCGAAATGACAATACCTTTGGTAAGCATAGACATAAGAAAGTTCTGAATATGCGGGGTGGAACTATAACTTGAAGGGACAAGTTCTATTAATATCACAAAACCAGTATTCTATAATGGTACCACCTTGACGGAAGACAATGTAAAATAACGCCATCTTACGGCAAATAGCGTAACTTTTAGACCGATCCTATAATTTTGAAGCGATAAAACCTCAAACAATCTCCGATAGAGCTTTTATGGTGTTAATTTTGTATAATACATGTTACTGAATTTTAATCGTAACGTTTAATTTTATTTATTAATGAAATTAATGAAAAAAAAAGAAATACAGTAGAACCTCGATAAGTTAAAGTCCAAGGGAAACACAAAATATTTTAAGTTATAGAGGTTTTAAGTTATCAAGGGTCTATATTGTAGAGGTTTTAGGCTCTGATGGGAAAGGAACATATTATTTTTTGAAGTTATAGAGATTTTTAAGTTATCGAGGTACTACTGTAACAAAATTTAAATAAACAGACGAACCTTTTTGTTGTACATTTCCCGGGCTTTTCAATATTTCTATCATAAAACAAAAACATTTTTATTTATTTAATTTTTATACACCTACCTGCGTATTTGAAGTATGAAATTCCACGCACTTTTCACAATGACCGGATACCGGCCGCATAAAAATGTGATCCTTCCTGAGTTTTAGTCAACACGACGTTTCGTAAATAGCAATATTTCAGCATCAAACAATTGACTGTCACTGCATTACAAGTCAGGTGTGCGAGGATTTTACAAGCTCTTAGTTTTAACTTATTAATTTGTAGAGATGTAAGAAAAGATTGTAGTTTTTTACGTGTAAGGTTTTGAAAAATTTCAAGTTTATTACGTAATTAATTTATACACAAACGGTAGAGGTGCTAATTCACCCCCATTCGCTCCTGGAGGCTATCTCTTGGCATCTCCAAGGCCCAGTGTTGCTATTCTTATAAAATTACTCATATGAATATTGTCTACAGGCAAGTGTCGGTGCTTCAGACGTC